CCCCAAAACCCCAAAACCCCAAAACCCCAACATAAATTATGAAGTTGAATAAATAAATAAGTTGTCAGACAGAAATTAAAGATGAGTGATTTTGGTAGGCAATATTAACATTTAAATTTAATTTATGGGGTAATTTTTCACACAATTGAGGACTATTAAGACATTATAGGAGAAATAAAGTTCCAGCCACGGAAAACCAAGAATTATAGAGATTCAAAAGCCATCTGTAACAATTTTGACAAAATTTATGATACAAGTCATAAATACTACAAGTTCTTCACGCCTAGTTCGACAAAGATGACTTCTAGGAAATCTAGGCAATCTTCGATGTATTCTAATAGAACCGATAATAAATTAAGAAAAAGGAAGGATTACTGCAAATTCTTTACAAGAAAAGACAATCCCAACCGTAGAGGTAGGCTGAGGTTTAACAATGTAGCCAAACCAGCATTTACTAACATGAAGTGAGTTAAGCCTAGCAAGGAGCTTGGTATAAAATAGAAGGAGAGAGGAACGATTCAACCATAAAACAATCTACAATAACAGTGAGTTTTAATCTGGACTAGTCTGATTTGTTATAGTTAGAAAAGACGATAAATTTAAAGCTCCAAATACCCCTTCAGTTAATAAATGCAGCCTCAGAAGAGGAAGGATGATACCTTACAACTACCAGTGCTCACAATCTTTCAGGGAGAGTCGCAAGAGATCTGTGAGTTCTAACAATAGTTTATTTCAAAACGAGACCAACTTGTCGATGGATCACTCAAATTTTGGAAGATGCATGAGGCGCACTCTGAGAGCAGGGAAAGATAACAAGAGAGAAATTCCAAAAGTGATTCTTTTACCACAGGAAATATCGCATGCTGTTGAATCCCCAAAGAAGACTTTGACTAGTTCTTCACAAGCAAGGTCTCAGTTTGTATTTAAGATGAAGGAGGTAGTAAGTTCGTTGGCTAGTTCAGAAAAATACTCCTCTAATCAGCATACAAACCGAGCTAAATCTCCAACAGCCAGAGTTGATTCTGGTTCTAAAAATAAAATTTCTGAATTTTGAGGAAACAAAAAGATTTTTGGGACCACTAACGAGCCTCTCTGTGCATCAGGTAAGAAGTATTTCAAGACACAAGATAAGCAGGAAAAGCTTGATAAGCAAGAAAAGCCTGATGAGCAGGATATGGAATCTTCTGCATGTATATCATTTCCTCCTGCCTCTAATTATACGAAAAAGAATGAGATAGAAGAGCGTATAATATCTAGTAAAATAAGTAACGAATTTTCTGAACTACCAATGGACGAGCACTCTCCTGATGATTTTAGGAGGTCAATTAGTCTGCACCAGCCAAGACAGAAAAAGTTTATGAACAAGATTTCAATGCCTAATAAAATGCCCAAGCCTCAGGAGAGTTCTGAACCCAAGGGACCTAAATATAGAATGGGGTAAGATACGGTGAAAATTTTAGAATGATCCTCATCAAAACTATCCAGAAGTATAAAATGAGCGAGAAGAAACTTATCAGTTTCTTTGATAAGTTGATCAGGAAGGTAGAGTTTCACAACCTTATTCCCATCCTAAACTCCTACTTGCCTCAAGATGATTCAGCATGAAGGAAGAATAATTTCAATAGCGGATGTAGAAAGACGAAAAGTCCGACTTTAATGACGCCTATTCACATGTTAATCATTCAGTCTAAATATCATACGTTGCGGTATTTAATTGACAAGAACAAACAGTTCTTGGCACCACAGTCACCTCTTTCTCTACGTGGGGCGAAAATGGCATTCAAGTGCATAATTTCAACTTCTAAGGCAGAGCCACTGAACTTGTCATTATCTGAGCCAAGGTGAGATGTTGTTAACCTTTTAGCCTGTACAATCAGACGTTAGAAGAATCAATCAATTTTTTGAAAGGAATTGATTTTAACATCCCATTTTCGTCTGCTAAAACGCCAACCTTACATTTGATTTACAAGTATGCCTTCCAATCATCTCTAGGCACTTTCAGATAAGCATTGCTGAAGATTTATGCTTACGTATGGGTTTGAATCCTTTTGATCGGGATAATGGCAAGACCATTGGTAAAGTTTCTTAACAAAATATAGATATGCTCCCTATTTATACTATGTATGAATTCCAGAAAGAAGAGAAAAAGGTGTGGAAGAAGTGACAGAAGATGTATTTGCGGAAGAGATTTGGAAAGAAAGAAGTAAAAGTGGGAAAAGAGTTTATTTAAGAGTTTTTGGTTAAGTGGGGTTTTGGGGTTTTGGGGTTTTGGGGG